CCCACATCACAAAAAACACTCTTATTCTGCTCTCTACCAAGATGTGCCATTAGGTTTGTGCAGGATTACACATTTCAGTGTAATAGTTTTATAAGCAAAACCACTGTGGGTATTGATATCGCATCAGGCTCATTCAGAGTGCTGAGGACCTGTCACTGTTGCTGGCAAGCCTCATTGTGCACTCAATAATAGCCCATTAAATCAATTCTTCCTGCTTTTCTTATCTCTGAAAGACCAGTCCTTGGCCAAGGTAATGGGTCAGTGAGCGTGTGGCTGATTAGCTGAGTTACCTTATTTAAATATTTTTGTATGGATTTACTGGATGGAAACGAGAGTGTCTCACTCCTTCTCAGCACCCACAGGGCACCCGCATGGCTGAGTTCTGTCAAAACACCTGAGTCTTTAACTGACGTATCATTTTGCTTCTCCCTAAGTGCAGCACATGGCCACTTGTGTGGACAAAGCCTTAAATCTTAATCTTAACAATTCAAGATACCAATGTTAATAGAAATAGATGTTTTGCCACTTGGTAGTAAATAAAGACAGGTGGTGTAGCACTGTTTCTTACATCTTAAGTTGTTTGATTGCTCATCTAGCCATAAAATATCCTCCTCTTTGATAATCCATGCCCCTCTCAGTAACAGCCTAATCTCTTGTCCCACAAACTCATCCACACTGAAAGCAACATTTACTGGATCGGCCAGTTGAGACAGTTATGTTGTAGGCATCAGGCACAATGATAGGAAGCCCTCAGAGCTTAGTCATTAGTGCACCACCTTGAATCTGATTTAACAGGATGACTAATCTCATCCAAGTCACTGGTTCGTCAACAGGGGACCACTCCGATGAGGAGAATATCCGGTCACAGTCTTATTTTTATCCCAATGAAAACTGACAAGAAGAAGCAGACAAGAGGGAGATGGGGATGGGGGAGGATGCCACATTAACAATCTGTTCTGTGTGTGTGTGTGTGTGTGTGTGTGTGCGATAGAGAGAGAGAGAGAGGGAGAGAGAGATGGATATCTGCACACCATGTTGAACATTATTATGCTTGACAGTATTATCACTGGCACATAGCCACCATAGCCAAAATCTCCCTGTTTGTAAACAACATTCTGCCAACATGGCAGCTATAATAACACCCTCAGATCTGGAGTGTTTGGAGAGGAAATGGAAGTAATCAGAGCTAATGTATGACAGCTGTGATAAAAAGGACAAGGAGGGGACTGCAAAAGCTGGTGGGGGTGATCAGGGCATAGCTTTAGTTATGCAAAAGGATACTGATGAAGTTAATGTATTGGGTTTAGAGCTTTTGAAGAAATGAAGATATGTTTGCAGTAACATATGTCACTTCACTTCAGTTTGTGAGCATGTTAATAATAGTGAAGATATACTGAAAACTGCAGAAATCAAAGAACTATGGATTAATGTAAATGTTACACCCTAGCCACATCTATCAAGTCCGTGTATTACTGTAGTATACAAAAGAGGTGAGTGGCAGGTACTGTAATTCAGAGGAAATACAGTGCAATTCTTAAGATGCCATTACTTTTTCTTTCAACTGTACTTGCCAACATGTCTAGGCTGCCAACACTGTACTAGGGCAATTTATGTTGGTTTTTCATTTAATCTCTCACCCATCTGTACTTTTGGTCTCTGTTTTGCCCGGTTTGTTATGCATTACATTTCCATCTCTTCAGCACATGTGATATTGTTCTATTCCTTTGTCTTCTCCTGAATTCCCAAAAAGCATTACTCACTGAAGCGAGTACACAAGGAAAGATTCCAATATTAAAATTTGTTCCCAACAGTATCACTCAATGAGGCATTAAACCACGCAGTGCAGTTCACTGAGGTGTATTCAAGACTTCCTGGAAGAAGTGTCCTCTGTGTGACTTCCTACTGAGGAAGCAACAAAATGAATTTGTGCTGGATTTTTTATAGCTTGCAGATACTTGTAAAATATTAGTAAAATAAATGATTTTGCCAATTTGGAGGACATTCTGTCTGCAGCTTCTGCAATGTCAAGGACGTGTATCTTATTGTGGTACCATATTTAGAGTGATCAGCAATGCTGAGTGCCATTCAGGGATGTTCTGGGGCTAAAAATGGCACAGTGTGCAAAAATTGCACAAAGATTTTGTTAAAACTAGCTGAATTAACTTTTATTATTGTTTGATTTTTGTAGGTTATTACAACCAGAATTATTTACAGATTGCAAATTAAGAACAATAAAATATTGGTAGGACAGTATGAAAGTATGACCACAGAACTGCTGTGTGGATGATGCAGATGAACAGGTCAAAGTAAGGTCAGTGTGAAGTGTTACCAAAATATAAAATGGTGATCAGATACATTCATGTTTTCTGAAGCGTTGCTGTCAATAGGAAAGTCAAAAAGTCAGTCAGGTGGTGAGATCTGGGCGACAAGTTATTCTGCAGTGACAGATGACATTTCTGTGAGGTTGCATCTGGAGTTCTCTGGCGCTGAGGCGAAGCTGGCCTTTCCCTCTGTCTGCCTAACTAGCATTCATCAGCAAACCCTTACAGACACACACACACACACACACACACACCACCTACACAGGCATAAAAGATGTAAATGGCAGCTGGCTCCATGAAAGTAATGCCCCTTCTCTTTGTTGTACTGTTTCAGTGATTTTTAGATGCTGCAGTCATCGCTGTCCTGCAGTGTCCTTGCAAGTTTTTTTAATGATATGAATATGAATTGTTGTTCTTTGGTTTCCTCCCATGCTTCTGTCATGCTTTACTCCTGAACCATAGTACTGATCGGTGGTGCTGGTCAATTGCAACCAAATAGTCCATGTTTATAAGCTAGTACAGCAGGTGCTTTCTTTCTCTCTTTTTTCCCTTTTATTTTTTCCTCCTCTATCTTCTACTTCTTTTATTACTTTGCTGCACAGCTCATTGTCAGCATGTCCATTCTATTCAAATGAAGGTTGGCATGAAATACAAGTACCACTACCTTCATAGTGGGCTCAAACGTACAGCAGTAGGCATGCATGAAGGCACAGGGTGGCAAAAGGATTCTCCCCCAGTGATTCATTTGAACTTTTCCTCACTTTGAAATGGCATCACAGAGGCCCTGCATGATTAATGCCACCACACTTATAAACACTATTCTGCCCAGAGTGCCAGTTGAACCAGGAACTTTTCTGAATGCCCATGGGGAGTTCTGTGAATATTGTGATTTGATTGGAAATCAGTTTGCTATTCAGCCTTTCAAATTGTTTGTCTAATGGTATGAACTCAGGTGAACACATCCATCAACTAACTGAACAGTATTGTCAATGTTGTGCAAGAAAGGGTAAAAATGGCTATAGCACAATGTTAGCATGTATTCCTGTGGCTCCGATGTCAAGTCAGTGTTTAATTAGGGCAAAAGCTCACACTATGAGAAAATGACCATCAGCTTTATTTAGTCATTGTTCCACAGTTTGCTTGTGCTTGTCTGTATGAACCAAAATTATGTGTACTTACAGTATATATGTTATATAAATAAAATTAAAGGAGACCACTGAATGATGCCAAACATAAAGACACATATTAAGAGACTCTGAGTAACATTGTTTTGTTAATTGTGTTGTTTTGGTGAAGACAAACAACAGGCAATCAGCTGTCATATTGAAGAAGATTGTTAGGAAGAAATTACGGCAAAATACAGTTTTTATTTTTTTGCATTAATTTTCCTGGAGCAGGTCTACTCTCTGTGCTTTTATAGATTTGGTTATGCAACACCACTGGAATAGCTTTTTATTTCTTGATGTAGTGTTAAATAGAAACATTTCTGTGAAAGGGTAAAACGTATCTGGACATGAAAGTCACTGCTGAACAATATACACACTTGGGGACCAGTTACATTTCAACGTGCCATGCAACATTTTCCAATAAATCCCTCTCAAGTATAGTGTGACACAGCCAATAGATTATTAACTGCTTACATCGAGTGTAAGACTGAGTCTGGAGGTACATAAACTAGTAACAAAAAGGGCTGCTTTGATCTGACACCAACAACAGAAAGCAGTGTTGTAATATACAGTAGCATCTGTATTAGAAACATGCACACTGAATCTGTCAAGGTACTATTCTTTGAGACACTAAGCCCTGAACTAAAGCCTTAACCTTGCACTGCCATCACCTCCGAGAAAGCTTATAGGGCGCTCTGGTTATTTTTTGGGAGGGTAAGTGGAATGACAAACAGCAGTTTATTATGAAGTGCTGAGCCTCTGAGAAGCAATCCTACACATGGGTTGCATTTATTAAATTAGCCAGCATTTCCCTTTATTTTACAACCGCACAACACTGCATGACTACACATTTGTCCACTCCTCTCAGTCTGAAAACATAACCTTGTATAACTTCACAACCAACCAGTGGGGCTCTGACTGTCCTATATTATCCTACAGTGGAGTCTCCACACTGAGACTCTGGTGCTTCACTTTGCACCTTTTTCCTCTGAGACAAAACAACAAGATCCATCCAATGAAAGTGATGAGTACTTTTCTAATTATTGCCCCATTTTTAATCATGCTTGTATTGCTGCCATGCCTCTCTTAGCTCTGTGGTCCCATTGCTAGCTGGATGGGTACACAGAGACAAAATAGTAATCAGCATCCCAGTAATCAGAAACACAATTGATCCATATTTCATTCCCAGGGGAATGGGGATAGGACAGAGCTCTGGAAACATTTTTGCAGTAGCTTCCCAGGTTGGGAATATCATTTGGATTATAATTGAATTTAGAAAGTGAAGTCCTATATGTTTCACTGACTTAATAGTATACTAGTATGATCATTGTTCATCAAGATTTTCTTGATTATTTTCCTCTTTGTGTGAATCTACTTGTTTGCATCCAGGGGATTCAGTTTACCATGACAACTCAAAATAGGGCACAATTTACACATCATACAGGTAAGTGGGCATTCAGCACAGCAGTAATTTGTAGTTATACAGCAAATGCACTGAGGTCTAGTTTCCTACCTCTTCCCATTGGTGGATGTAGCGAATAAGTCTAGAGAGGCGCAGGAGACGCAGCAGGCTGAGGATCTTGGTGAAGCGAACAATTCGCAAGGCGCGAGCCGTCTTGTAGAAATCTGAGTCAATACGTGTCTCCACAATGAGAAATATGTAGTCCACAGGGATTGAAGAGATGAAGTCCACCACAAACCAGCTCCGCAAGTACTTGATCTTGATCTGTTGTGGATCCAGGATAATCTCTGTGTTGTCCTCCTTGACAATACCAGTCCTGAAGTTAAGGACCAGGTCCATGAGGAAGAAGGTGTCGGATACTACATTGAACACAATCCAGGGGGGGGTGTGCTCGTCCTTGAAAAATGTGATGCCCACAGGGATGATGATGAGGTTGCCCACCATTAGCAGCAGCATGGTCAAGTCCCAGTAAAACCTTGTTGGAGAAAAAAATGGAGAAAGGTGGAGAAGGACTGGTCAAAGAGAGAACAGTAAAGTACTGTTAGCAGCATTTTGCACAGTTAGAGGATGACAGATTTTGTTCTATGCATTTCTATAGTTTGACATGAAAACTCTGAGTTTGGACTGCAAGTCACAACTCAAAGGTCACTGAGGGTTAACTGTTAATTATAAATTGTGACCTCTTTCAAGTTTGGATATAAATTGCACTTTCTGCTGGCTTGGTTATTGAATCCAGATTGGGTGGGGATTTGTGTTAAGGGGTGATATATCCTGGATACTTCATAGCCTGCACAATGAGGGGCTTCTGCACTGTGCACTGGCTCAGTGAGCTTTGGGTGATTTACCCACATAGATCTGTCTCTGTGCAAAAACAATTTCAGGAGCAGGACCATAGGAAATACAGAACAAAAGATTCTACATATATAACCAGGATAGGAGCTGCATGTTAGAATGCCACAGCTCTTTTATTTCCTTGTTGCAGCTGATGTCTATTGATTTCATAGTTCATTCATAGTGTGTTGAAGTAAATGAATCACCAACAAACTGGTGAATCATAAGCATAAACATTTGGTCCCAGTCCAGTCAAGCTGAGTAAACCTCAGCCACACAAAGCAAAAATATGCATATACGAATAATCCGGCTAATGTCAAGTATCTTCCATTGATTTTTACTCATGAGATTACCTTGGGGGTCTTGTTTTTGCTTTGTTTTGTTTGTTTCCTTTGTGTTTGCTAGGTTGGATAATGTACAGTGAGAAATATCAAAATGTTTTTGAAGTCATAAAGTAGTCTGCCTTCATACTTTAGACTATATAGAGGCTATTACAAACACTAATCCGTGTTGCAGCAAATATTTAGATTTTTTTTCATGGATCTACTTTTCTTTTCTTTTTTTTTTGGTGACCATCACTAAAAAAATCCCATTATTGACAGAAGCAAAATAACACACATTGATGATGGCTAGCATGGCTACCTTGAGTCTATTCATATACTTTAATAAATGAGGCTTGCTCACACAGGTGGCAGATGTAGGTCTGTTCTACCAGAATGATGTCCAAAGGTCTTAAACAACATTCTTGTTACTCTTTCTGAAACAATGTTGAAAAGCTCTCTTCTGCCACTACTTTTTAATTTTCTTTCGATCTGTTTCTTCATTCATACAGCATGACCTAACTGCTGGCTGAGTGAGGTTTTTGTAGGGTTAGATTTTTTTTGTTTATTTATTTATTTACTAGTAAGGTGATTTGTCAAGCTGCCTTTATATATATATA